CAACTGCAGCCTCACCAGGGCCTGCTGTGAATCACTGGGCCCGGCCCTCAGTTCTGACCTGAGACAGCTGATTCTGAGCCAAAATGACTTACAGGACTCTGGAGTGAAGCTGCTCTCTGCTGGCCTAGAGACCCCTGACTGTAAACTGGAGATACTGAGGTCTGGAGATATGAGTAATCAAGAGAAAACAGAATAAGCACCTACATTATGAATGAACTATTACATTTACAGAAAAACTGAAAGCAGTTTATTCAAAGGGAAATGTTCATAAAAATATATAAAAGTTTATGCAAACGTTTTGATTAATGATTTATTTGTCTGGTAATCAGGTACAAAATGTGACTGGCTCCTTTTGACGTCCCATCACCATGTTCCAAGTCACACTCTGTTTCTTACTCAGACTTGACGGGTGTAACCTGACTGGAAAGAGCTGCGACAGCCTTGCCTCAGCCTTGGCCAAAGCCCAGAATCTCAGAGAGCTGGATCTGAGCACCAATGACCTGCAGGACTTGGGAATGGAGAAGCTCTTGGAAGCACTGGCTAAGACTCCATGCACCCTGGAGACAATGAGGTGGGAATGAAGCTTCCTTGACTGATGCTTCAGAGTGAGGAGAATAGATACAATTATATTTTCATGGTATATTAAAGGGTTACCACAGTCAAGTCTTTCTAGGTATATTTAATAAGATACAATATTTCAGTACAGTACTTTTTAATACTTGTGATGTTGCATATTAATTTCAGTATCCATCAGTAATTTTTTTTTTTACAGAGATTGCAGTTGTAGATTCAGGACAAAATTAACCTCTTCTTCAGGTTGAAATGGTGTAAACTCACGGAGAAAACCTGTGAGGGACTAAAGAACGTTTTTAGCTCAAAGTCATCAAAACTGAAAGAGCTGGACCTGAATGACAATGACTTACAGGATTCAGGAGTGAAGCTGCTCTCTGCTGGGCTTAGTAACCGGGCCTGTGAACTGCAGACACTGAGGTCAGAACTCCGTCTTTTCATGGAGATCCAGTGAACTGTCCTGGGCTGGTTTCAAATGTTTTATGACAGGAAAGAAGCCGAGTTTATTACTCAGTCAGTTATTCAGGATGAGAGTCCAGGGGGCTGAAGTCTGTCCGAGGAAACACAGGCCACAAGGCTGGCGGACACCCTGCCATGTCCGTCACAGGCTAGTTTAGTTAGCATTAGCCAGTTAGCCTGACTGTGTGTTTTTGGATGGCATGAGGTAGCAGTGCTATGCATTGACCCATGGTAATGGTGACAGTAATGATAATGAAATTAAAGCTTAATTTTGCACATTTCTGCTCAGCCTCGAGAGATGTGGACTCACGATGAAAGGCTGTGAGTCCTTGGGCTCAGCAATTAGCTGCATGGGCTCCAAGCTGAGGAGGCTGAACCTGAGGGACAATGATCTACAGGACCAGGGCGTGAAGCTGCTGTCGGTGGGGCTGGGGAGCATCCAGTGCAGGCTGGAGAAGCTCTGGTCAGTGTGAGACTCGCAGAGACAAGGGGAAGGCAGTTTGGGTTGGCAAGGCCCTGGGGGCGGGGTTTCCCTTTCGAGGGATTAGCATTACCATGGCTGTAAAACACACCCATTTGCACCGGTATTCAGGGCCCACATTTTCACCTCTCCGCAGCCTATCAGGGTGCTACATTACGGAGGCAGGCTGTGCATCTCTGGTTTCATCTCTGAGGTCAAACCCCTCACACCTACGGGAGCTGGACCTGAGCTACAACCACCTGGGAGACTCAGGGGTCAAGCTGCTCTCTGCTCTGCTGGGGAATCCCAAGTGTAAACTGAAGTGAGTCTGTGTACCTGTACAAACTGCACAAGCAGAGTGTGGAGGTGATGCTCCCCCTCAGTCAGGAACATTAATAATACCCCCCCGCTGTCTTCCATTCAGCCTAACCAGGCCAAGGCCATTGGCTTTCCACTGCTACTGCTAATAATAATGCCAGTATGTTATTTGTATTGAATACTATATAATAATATAACAATCATTTATATCATTCCATCATACACCTGACACTTTTCCCCTATATCAGCCACCAGCTGAATTTTCACACTTCATTCATTCATTAGCTGAACGTGTTTCTCCTGAGACTGAGCAACGAGACACAGACAAAACAAGGTGATAGAAAGACAAAAGTATAAAGTGAGATATATTAAAAATGAACAGTGGGAGAGCATTTAACGGTCATTAATTGGGAAGGAAGGATACTGTGGCTGACAGGCTGGCTCTCTGTACACATCTGACCATCTGGTTTATCTGCAGCACAGACCATGCTGGAGAGAACAGGAACAGATCAGGGCTGCTGAAATGTAAGTGTTGCACATTAAGCGTCTAGAGCAGCGTTTTCACTGCGATCCTTGGGACCCCACAGTCTGTCAGGGAGCCGGCGAGGGGGAACAAAGACGTGGACTGTCTGTGGGTCCCTGAAGACCGTGCTCGGAAACTCTGCTCTAGAGAAGTTTTGAAAAGTGGCAGAACCTTCTTCGTTTTTGCATTGCTGGTTTCTGTTTACAACCAAGTACATAAGCTTACTCAGAAAATTGTTTGCTCAGAAAATTTGGGCAGAATAAAACTTTTGCTTTAACCCCTGCTTAACCCTTTGTTATGTAATCATAATATCACGGATAAGCCACCCACTGCTGGTATCAGTAACTGCTGGTAACTGCTTCAGACACCACCATAACCAGTAACGGTTCTGGCTAATGTGGAGCCCTAGGTGAGCATCACTGCTGGTGCCCCCTGTCTGAGGCAAAGTGAAACTGGCTGGCAAGTTGGCACCTCTCAGAAGTTGGTGTCCTATAGTAGGTGGCCATCTATGTGGCCTATCGGATTGACCGGTCCTGCTGGTCGCCTATGCGGCCTATCGGATTGACCGACCCTGCTGGTCGCTTGTGCGGAATATCGGATTGACCGGCCCTGCCAGTCGTCTATGCGGCCTATCGGATTGACCGGCCCTGCTGGTCCCTTGTGCGGAATATCGGATTGACCGGTCCTGATAGTCGCCTATGCGGGCTATCGGATTGACCGGCCCTGATAGTCGCCTATGCTGCCTATCGGATTGACCGGCCCTGCCGGTCGCCTATGCGGCTTATGGCCTGTAACCCTCGCCTTACCCAGGCTTTACTGTGTTCCCTTTGATACTGATACTGAGTCTATATTGCAGACGCTTGCCAGCTCACAATGGATCCCAACACGGCCAATAAGCACCTATCTCTGTCAGACGGGAATCAAAAGGTGACCCTGGACTCCGAACAGTCCTACCCCAGCCATCCAGAGAGGTTTGAGCGCCTGGAGCAGGTACTGTGCTCCCAGGATCTGTCTGAGGCCAGGTTCTACTGGGAGGTCGAGTGGGCTGGTTGCTGGACTTCTGTGGGCGTGGCCTATGCAGGCATAGCCCGCAAGGGGAAAGGTGACGACAGCCAGCTGGGCTACAACGAGCAGTCCTGGAGCTTGTTCTGCTCCGAGGCTGGCTACTCTGCCCGGCATGGTGGCAGGTTTCTGGATATCGCCGTACCGAGCCCCAAGCCCGAAAGAGTCGGGGTCTACCTGGACTGGTCCAGAGGCACTCTGTCCTTCTACGGCATTGCCTCCAGCACGGTGACGCTGCTGTATACGTTCCACTCTGCGTTCACTGAGCCCCTGCATCCGGCATTTGGGATGGGGTTTGAGGTCAAGGCCGGACACCGCCATCGGCTGGACAGCTGGGAGGATCCGTCCCACGTGTGTCTGTGTCAGCTGTGACAGAACATCTGGACCCCCTGAGATCCCACTTTCTTCAGACACACAAGCATTTACTGTCATTGCGAAAACATCCAAAGAACTTCATATCAAACATTAAAACTATGTGTCGTAATTTAATGTCTGTAGCCAGAAATAAATGCAATGGCGTATTGGGCAACCATACCGACACGTCCCCCTCGATAGAGTAATTTTACTATCTGTCTACATGCCTGGTCATCATTTGAATCTCGCAGTATTATACTTGCATGCTTTTCTTTAAAATTGGCTTTACTTTGCAGGATTATTCAAGCCGCCCTTGTTCCTGCTATTTCCTGCTAAGTGTCGGAGAGCTGTGCCAAAGCTCATTCACATTCAATAGTAAAATAAACAAGGAAGTGCCCATTGTCTCCTTCTTTCTTGCATCAGGACAAAGTCAGAATGTTCAGATATCATTTGGTTCTTCAGCCAGAACCCCTAATGTCATGTGGACCTAGGTGAAGGTTATCTAAAGGTAAATATGAATCTGCTGATTGTGGACAATAATTATGTTGTCAAAAAGTATAAAGATCAACACAGCTGAGGTACCAAGGTTTACTGATGTTTTCAGTTGCTGACAAAGAAAACATTTAGAGCCTCAGCAGATATTGTGAGATTAGATCTGCTGCACGCAGAAGCCGGGGAACATGCCAGCTGCCCACATGCAGCCCAAATGCAGGAACCCCCCCACGGTCCTGCGGGTGTGAGGTCACATGAGCCGCCATCCAGTTAAAGACGTTTCACATCTTTACCTCTGGCTGCGGGTTTTTTTTTTTTTTTTACTGTAAAAGTTTTTATTTTGTTTCAAAGTGTAGCTTTTGAAAGGCAGTAAAGATTCTCTGTCCATATATATCTTCCTGTTTAGCTGAGTACTTCTTAGGTAATCTAATATAGAACAACAAATTTAAACTAGTTCTGATTGTGCATGATATTTTATATTATTAAAGGCAAAACTGATTGAACCAGATGCATTCAGTTTTAAAATAAAATGTATATAATACTGCATCAGCCCGAGCGGATAACTGGTTGGAAGTTCGGCAAATACATATAAAAACTATATAAAATATAAAAAACTTTACAATATTTTGTCAGTTACCCCAATTCTTGGGGAGCCCCATCCTGTAAAGATTACAGCAAGTAAGGATCCAATAAGAATTACACTTTGTGATTAAAAAAGTCTGCTGGCTTCAGCTGGACTCAGAAAATGACAGTAGCAGAGTATTTATTAGCCAAATGTTTTATTAAGCACATTTCCCATGAGCTATCAGCACGCAGGATATCGACACAGAAGTATTCACTTAAAATTGGGAAATAGCCTACATAGTAAAACAAACACCCCACCAAATGTCCAAGAGAATCTCAATAGTTTGCTGGAGATGGTGGACTGGGAACTATCATCTCGACTAACAGAACCACCCTGTTTCAGGACATTTCCCCAGGTCTGTGCAGGTCTGACATTGTGAAGCTCTCTTAAACCTCTAAAAGCTTTCTCGACGAGAGTGCTGGCTTTGTAGATACCACATGGAAAATCGCTTTTCAGTTTTCCAGTACAATCTGTTGAGTAGAGAAATGAAGGGGGACTTAAAAGCATTAAGTTGTTTTTACATCAGGATCGTTCTGACCGCGGAGCTGACTGAGCCCTGTGTTCCCAGATATCCAGCTAATACCCAGCAGGTACTTGGTCACAGTAGCGGTGTGGAGATGCGCTGCCCCCAGGAAGGCTGGTGGACTTTTAAGAAGGACGTGGCCAGGTTACGGCTCCACGCTCCTCTGTCTGACTCCCAAACCCAGTGGCGCTGCAGAGAAAAGCGTTGAAACCAGACCAGACCTGGTGGTGATACCAAATGTGAAAATGACGTTTTTGATCACTCCTATGTTTCTGTCTCTCTGGGCAAGTCTGAGGAAGGAGTCAAGATGTGGAAGTTGGAGATGAAGTCGGTCTCCATCTTCCTGTAGACCTCAGGGAGTCCCTTGCCGTGCTGAGCCCTGACGTTGTACTTCTTGGAATGCAGACCGATAGAGACGGTCGGAGTGGGCATGGAGCGTAGCGCAGTGTTGATCCTTCCCCAGTCTGGGATCAGGAGGAAAATCTGAATGCCCTGTGGAACAAGGAAGACAACAGGGTACTTTGCATCTCAGATACCTGAAAAAGGGCCCCTAATGCGTCTCCACTCGCTCAGTAACTAAAAAAGGGCCCCTAATGCGTGACCACTCGCTCAGTAACTAAAAAAGGGCCCCAAATGTGTGACCACTCGCTCAGTAACTAAAAAAGGGCCCCAAATGCGTGACCACTTGCTCAGTAACTAAACAAAACAGGGGGAGTTTTTTGAAAAATTTAACAGAACAATTTCTGTTTCTTTCTGCAGAATGTTTGGTGAGCATATTCGCAACATAACAGTGGTATACATTATCTCTCGTCCAAAGGACTTGATAAAGATATTCAGCATACTTGGGCCCCTGGGCATGAGGCTTTTGGGGCCCCCGAGGTAACTGATGGAGCCTTGGGGCCCTAAAAACCAAAACCGGTGTAGTGTCTAAGCCCTGGGCCTTATTAAATAAGGAGTACTGCCATAGCTGTGGTATCTAAGGGATGACATAATGCCAAAGCTGTCCATGGACTGGGGACATCGTTTGAGGCCACACTGTGACCTGGGCCTCTGGGCCCCAGCTGTGATCCACCCATGATTAAGGTCACTGTTAGAAAAACATCTCCTATATGCAAAGGCCTGTTTTCATAAACACCAAAGATGTGCATCAGACATTGTTTTTAGTGCTCCTGTTCATTCAAGACTAACGAAGATTCACCAAAGAACAGTGTGACATCTGGCACAAACCTGGGTGGTGTTGAAAACGCAGAAGATGATGCTGAGGACTGTGTGAACGTCTGGATCATGGGTCACCAGCAGCAAGTATCCTATCAACCAGGTGAGGCCAAGCAGCACAGCCAGAGAGATGCTACTGATGACCTCCTTCAGTAGGGTGCTGGTTTTGGAGGAGAACATCACAGATGTGAAACAGCTACTAGGCCTCGATACAGAGGTCGGGCCAGCTTTTTTAGCATGCTCTACACTGTAAACAATGTCTGTGAAATTAACAGAGAAATTCTGTAAAATAACGACATAAAAAAACTGTAAGAGGAAAAACAATAGAGCAGCGTATATTTTAACATTAATATTTTGTAAAATACTTAACAAAAAAACAACTTAATTTTTCAGTAAAAATATGTTTTAAAAAAATATTTTTTTTGGTAGAGTTAATAAATTACTGTAGTTTAAACGCATACAAATTGTAATATAAAAACCAATACAATAAAGTTAAAATTACAACATAACGGTGTGAAAATAATATTTTTTTAATCAGGTCAACTTTGTTTATACTGAAAGAAACCATGTTACATTTTACAAATTAATATTCTGTGCTTTACAGATGAGAAACAGTAAAACTTTAAATGATATTCCAACACTTGCTTTTTGCTTCGTGCATTATGAGCCAACAAGAAATAGCCCACACGAGTCAGGGTTTTCTGGTTTGTCAGTCAGCTTTTGAAATTGCAGTACATTCGGAGATACCGTCAGAACTTCACCTCGTAGCAACACCTCTGCTCAGTTGATAAGAAGGTATTTTTCCACTGAGGTGATAAAAAATTCTGTAGCACCAGCGGGACAAATGTCCAGGAATGCCCCGCGTGCAGTTATAAATAGCCCTTGTATTGTTGTCATTGTTAATGGTTATATTTCCTTATTGTCGCGTGTGTTTACCTGTGTCTTATGTGTACCCTGTCCGATCCTCGTGTGTGATTAGCTTACATAAATCTTCCACCGTGTATGCGTCTTACAGTTGAGCGTCTGACAACCTTGTGTTTCCTGCGTATAACTGGTTCGATACTCCTTGCGTGCCTGATGTAGCCCTTTTCAGGACTACTAATAAAGAGCGTGTTACCTCAGCAAGAAAGTGCTGGCAGCTGTGGTTACCAGAATAATTTAGTAAAAAAATACGGCAAAAATGTAAACAGCTTTACAAAACAGCCTGTCAATTTCACATACCAACATTGTAACATTTTACATAGTGAATTTGTAAATTCAGCATATTCTTTCTACTATTTAGCAGGGCCATGCTGCTGCTGTACCAGTTATTTCAGTATAATTCACATCTAATCATTGCTTATTCTACACTGAAACCAAGTAACACATGTAGTTGGTGGCTGTTTTACATTGAAATCGAGTAAAATTTACAAATGTTTCTGTAAAGTTGTTTACACTTGTACAGTATTTTTTACAGAATAATTCTGGTAACCACAGCTGCCAGCTTTTTTCCGTAAAAACAACGGGATTTTTTTTTTTTTTACAGTGTAGTTCAGGTAACGACAAAGTGTGAGGTTTGTACACCTCCAACACTTTGAAAGCATTTTTGTCCGGTGTATCCCAGGCAAGATAGAAAAGGATTTCACTCGAAGTCTGGTATGTTGGCTGCCTATTGAAGTTCTTCTAATTGTGGGAGAAATGGGGCTTTGATGGGTGGAGCTGGTGTTTGCCGCCAGTCATGAATTTAGGCCACTTCAATTTTCTAAGGCTGTGATTGACATTGCAGGTGGGACTTCAGGCAGCACTACTCATCTCATTTCCTCCACATGTGTGCTGGTCCGGAAAAGATGGTACCGTTTCATTCTGTGGGGTTATCACTCACCAGCTATTGTTGGTTTTGCTCTTGCTACGCCTCCTTGCCCTCCTTGCCTGCTTCACTGCTGTGATGGTGAAGTAAACTAGCTCCACGGTGTTGAAGAAGAGCAGCACAGCCACAGGCAGCAGGAAGCTCCAGAGCAGGGTGCGACGCGGGTCAAACTTCCCATTTTCATCCATGGTAGCCAACCAGCAGCTAGAAGAGGCGTTAGGTGTGAGTTTGCTTGGCAGACAGGCCCCATGTCTTTCAGCCGTGTGAAAGAGCGCCCGAGCGGCTAAATCGCATGTGCAGTCAGAAGGATGCAGATTTTGACCTGAAGGGGAACAGGTTCCTATACTTTTGATTAGCTGATCGGGTTTCTTGTCCTGCTGTCTAACACACTTCAGTGGGAGGCGCTTGGAGCTTTAAGTCCACTTCTGAAGCACCTAGTGCCAGTCGAAGCCCATGTGGAGCCCTGGGCAAGCTTCACCACCGCCCCCCCCCATCCCCGCCGAAGCCGTTCTGTGCTGGGGGGCAGGTGTGGTGCACACTGTTTGACACATAGGGACACCAGCTGGCTAAGTCAGCGCCCCCTCAGGTCACGGCGCCCTAGGCGGCTGCTTATGTCACCTGACAGGTCGGCTGCTGCAGCCTATTAGACAGCAGGTCACATGGGTCACGGCCGCAGTTAGACAGGGGTACGCACAGTCCACTACAGGAATGTCCTTTCATGCTTGCTGTGTCATGTCTGCTGATAGGAATCTATGCCAAACAATAAGATATTTACAACTGTGATTATAATTTCAGTCGCATTAGAAAATATTTAACTACAAAGACGAGGCATCTATAAAGGACACGGCAGAACGCTAAAAGCCTTGTTCATGTCTGGGCAAAGGTCATCTCCTCATGTAAGTGCGTTTATACATCCACATACACTGGAACCAATGCACTCACAACTCTTGCTGGCGATAGTTCAGTGGATTCTTCACACTGTATGAAACTGCAAGTGTAAAGGACGTCAGCACCAGTGGAAAACCTGAATACAAAACAAACATGCGTGAATATGTGACAATGTCAGAGCTCTGACCATTTTTTCCTGTACAGTTGGTTTTTATTCAAGATTTGGATTTGGAGGAAGTTCACGGTGGTCCAGTACCATCTTCATGAGCAGCAGTACCATCTTTACGAGACTATGCTGCCCCACAAAGACAAAATGTTCTAACTGCATATTCTACCAAATAAATGATAAGTCCTTCATTAGCCATTTGCACAAGTACAGGTACACTGGAATTCGTCCTTTTGCCTGCCCAGTCTTGCGCTCCATAGCTTGGAGGGTCACAGCACAGAGCCAGCTAACGTGCCACCCCCCAGGGGCCCTGCTCAGCCATGCTCAAGGGCCCATGGACATCTCACCCTGCTGAGGCTGGGGCTCCTACATGGATCTGCTGATCACAGGCACAGAGACTTATTCCACTGAGCTACACACGCCCCCAAAAGTTGAGTTAGGACTGAAATTGAGTCTCTTAGGCTTTGTTTTATCTTGTAACAAAATATCTTTTGAAGAATTACACTATCATTTACCTACCCATTACATATGGGTAACAGGTCAAAAAACTCTTTCTCAGTTTCAGTGTCAGCTTAGTGACTGTGTTTTGTCTTTGCAGGGCAGTATGGAGATCTCCTGTGCATTCACATCATCCCATAATTTGATGACAAGTAAGACACTGCTTTGGGTGTGAACAGTGAGGACTCTTGTTGGATTTAATATGTGTCTATCTTGGTAATGACCACCAGGTTGACTATAGCTACCAAATTTAACAACACTTCTTTACACAGTGTGTAGTTAGAGTATGGAATAGTCTTCCTGTTCATGTAGTGCAAGCTAAAACCCTGGGTTCTTTTAAATCAGAGCTAGATAAGATTTGAACAACTCTGAGCTATTAGTGAAACGAGCTTGATGGGGCAAATGGCCTCCTCTCATTTGTAAATTTCTTATGTTCTTATGTTCTCAGGAGCCCGTTGTCTCTGTATATAAGCCACGTGAAACTGAGAAATGCCGAGTCATTAATTTGATATGACAGGCTGTGCCTGGCTGTGCCTGGCTGTGCCTCGCTCACCCCAGCCAACTGCCAAGGAAATCACGGTGAACTGCGACTGAGACAGCTGGAGGGAGCTCAACTGCGTCCTTCTCAGGTTGGTCAGAAGCATCTGCATGGCATACAGTGCATTCCAGGTGAAGGTAGCCAGCAGGAAAAAGTGCATGAGAGCCGTCACCGCCGTGCACGGGCCACTGTCGCGGTCCACGTGGAGGTCTGACTCCAGCATGTGATTCCTGCTGCGGTCGGCCATCACAGCGCCCCCCACTGGGGGCTTGTTGGCTCCGAAGATGAAAAGCAGGTTGAACAGCAACAGGGAGCTATATATGCTGACTAGGATCATCGTGGTGTTGCTCTTCCGTGACTTGCTGTGAACAGAAGGTAAATTAGAAGTTATAAGAAGTGGTAGAACCATAAACTAGAAGACGTGGAAGCAACATAACACAGTCAAACCCAGTTTCTTTGAATCCCTGTGTCATTTGGATGTTTTGAGCTTCCATTCCTTTTGTTGCCTATATCTGTGTAACTACCCTTCTTGATTCCAGGCTAAGCCAAACATACTAAAACTGCAAGGCCATAATCTTCGCATATAGGCATAATGTCTACAAACTATAATTCAATAATAATACAGAAGTATTTAAACCCAGGCTTTAGCTATAAATGAGAGCACCAAGTTCAGAACCTCTGTTACTTCTCCCGAACTTTGTCTGAATGGAATCTTTATTTGCAAAAATATGCCCCCCCATGATTATTTACATGTAAGAAATAGTCAGTAGACAGTGCAAAGTCATTTAATTAGCTGTGAAGGTGAAGGATTTTTACCTGACGATGAGCTCGAGCAGTATGGTGAAACTCAGGGCGATTACTGAGAGAAAGCATCCAACAAAGGTGATTATGTCCATTGCTTTTGAATATTTAACATCTTTCCTGAAAGACTGCAGATAAACAAAATCAATGATATGCAGGGACCAACTGTGAAGATGCACCAGATCCTGGTGCAGTTATCTGTATGTTCCACATAGTCCCAGGCAAACACAGCCATCACGGAGAACTTGGTCATCCCACGGATTATCCAGGATGAAACCCTCCACCCGCATGCCTCTACGCCCATGACGACCATAATGTAGTGCTGTCTGTTGGCAAGACCTGTACCAAGGTCTCCCATGTTAAAGGGGGCAACCCAGGTTGTAGCACCAATGGGTCAAAACCTGGAATCTGAGTGAGGAGATTGGGGCTCAGGAGATGTGCGTGGTGGTAAATATAATATGGGGGGGGGGGGGGGGGAGAGAGGCTTGGGTAGACTCTATGGGCTTTGATGCCCAACTAACTCCCTTTAGGACCTTGGGTAGAAAGCACCTTTAGGGGCTGATGGGCTTGGGGGAGGCATGGGAGAGCACTCACCAGCAGCATAGAGAAGCTGGTGGTATGGTTGCAGACACAGCCCACCACGCCCCGGGCCAGATCGGTCTCACTAAGCCTGTTGCTCTTGAAGCAACCCTCTGTGCTCCAGTCCCCAAGGGAGTAGTCCCAAAACACACAGGCAAAGTCGTAGAGGGTTGCATTGCGGATGGGCTGGCAGAAAAAAAGAAACGACACACATACAGGGTGAGAAACACGGTGCAGTGTGTAGTGATTGCTCACCAGAAGCCCGTGAGAAGCACGGTGCAGTGTGTAGTCATTACTCACCAGAAGCCCGTGGGAAGCACGGTGCAGTGTGTAGTGATTACTCACCAGAAGCCCGTGAGGCTTTATGCAGCCTCATAAGGTATCGTAATGACTTTTACTTTAATCTGATTCATTACTGATAAAGACCAGAGGTGCTCAAAAACAACAATCAGGATGTAATGTAAATTGATAGTCTCAGAACAAAGGTGCAAGTTCATGTAGACATGTAAAAACTGGTGGTAAAGCTATTAACCATGTTGCAGTATGCGGAAAGTTCAAGAGACCAAATTAAGGTGATGACAACACCTACGGGTGGTCGATAGAGCAGTTCCACGAATTCGGGCACTGTCTTCCGAAGTCCTGCACTGTCACTGCTGATACTCCCAGTGATCACATTCCTTGTGGTCCCTAAGGGTGTTGCAAATCGCCTTGACTGGAAAAACTTATCATTCTGGTAGAGGACGAAGCCAACCTTCATTGCCTCTTGAGTTCTTTCTATCCATGGTGACAGGGAAACATTACAAATTTTTGAGTTAGCATTTTACAATTTGAGGACATGATCTGCAGGTAGATTGACACAAAATGTTGACCTAGGGGCAAACTCATGTGTCTTACAGAATTAAGCATGCTTAGCCCAAACTAAGATGAGCCTAAGTATCTGGGTTTACTCTATACTGGGTCTATGCTACCTTGGACACCTACAACTGGAATTCGTCTTCTAAGAATACCTTGTGGAAATTTGATAAAAATGTGTACTCCTCTTGGTGTTGTGTTGTTGATGGTCAGCTGTGGTACGCTGCTGGTGTATATTCTGTCAGACACAAAGGACTGAGTTGTACCTGGGAAATAAGCCAAAATGCAATAAGAAATCTACATCATTACATCGTTTGCCAATCCAGTGCTGGGTGACATATGTCATGTACTATGTGAAAAGAAACTTTTAAAAACACAGCAACTGCTACACCGACTGCACACTCAAGCCATCTATTTCCCAGCAGAAAGACCTTTAAGTCCTGTCTGGTCCTGGTGTTCCACACCAGACACACACATCCTGTGGTAGCTGAAAGCCAAGGACCATACGTACTGGGTATAGTGGAGAACTGGATCCCCTGTGTGGCCCCATGTGACACATTAACTTTTAAGGACTTCATTGCTAAGTTGGGCTGGACCACTGCTTCAGAGTGACTGGCTCCTCCAGTGAGGGTGAAGTTCTCCAGTGCTGAAGTCAGGCTAAAGTGAACACGAGGACACACACACAAGAAACAAAATTTGTAAGGTAAGTTATTCAGCAACACATATAGAAAACCCATTCTGCTTCCATTTACTTTGTGGGGATGTACTTGCAACCTGAGTCTTCTAGATTGTGTTGTATTTCTTTGTGACAACATTTTTTTTCAACATGTATCCTCACAAAATATGTGTAACATGTACAAATACAGAAAAGACTGGGAAACAAAACATTCCTCGTGCATGAGGGGAAAGGAAAGGAGATTATATCCTCTGCATTATAAGTCGGCTAACAAAGCTGTCTTCACTGATGTCAGTGAATGTCATGGGTAAGCAATTTTAAGGCTTAGACCACAAGACTCTGTGGAAGGGCTTAGGGTCCTGCTCATAGCCCGCCTTGTGTTCTGGTTATGTGTGCTAATGTCCTTTGTGGTCAGGAGGGTGGAGAGGACCTGGCGTACCTCTCTGTGACATTGCTGGTTTGAGAAGAGAACTCAGATCTGCTGGCTTTCAGGAGTTGGCTGATGGTCACCACTGTGAAGTTAATGGCTTCCTACCAAATGAGAACGAGAGAGAGAGCAAAAGCACCCCGTTTCAGTTCAGGCTGATGTCTTTCATAGCGTAGAATCTCTCAATGTCTTGAAATGACCCTTTGCTATAGTGGTCTTTTCATTGGCTACCATCTGTGTGGGGTTTCGATTAAGCGGCCAATAGAGGAGCCTAGCTCTGTGACATATACAGTGCAAAAATTATTTCTAAATGATCTTAACTATGCTATCATGCCTGTCAAAGTGTGTCAGCGTAGCCATTTCAAAACTTCTGCTAAAATCACCCCAGTATTTGCAGCAGTATTTGGTTTTATTAACTAATTAAATTAATTAATTGAGCTGGTGGTGAAACTACATGTAATAGCTGGGCTTCCCCTATGGAGAGGTTTGGGAACTGAAGCTGTGTTCTTCTAGTCATCCACCAAGATATCAGTAAGTTTTTGGAGAACAGAAGAAAATCTTGTTAATTTTTACTGTTACTGTTAATTTGCATATGTTCTGTTAAATTTATTTTTTTTCTGTGCAAATATAGACTTACTACCCAGATAAACAGCTTTAAATATTGACTTTAACTGTCTAAGACTTTGGCAGTGTACTGCATGTGCGACTGACCATTTCATCTTGGCTTCGGCCTTTTATGAGCAGTTAAGAATCTGCACTAATCACTGCATGTTGCATTCTAATTGCCGGCAAGCTCTTCTGCACTAAACGAAGTGGTCATCTCTGTTTCCATGGCAATGGGGATAGTGCTGAGGCAGAACTCTGGTATCCTAGCAGCGTGAGAATGCCACATGGTGTTACCTTCAAGGAGCTGCCGAGCAGGAGTGATGTGATGATTTTGGCTGCCATGGTGATGTTCTTAGTGGTGAGGGTCTCGGGCTTGGATGTCAGGATTTGAGTGCTTATGGCGATAGTACTTGCATTGGTGGAGTTAATCTGTAATCACAGATTACCCCAAAAAGCAGCACATTTCATTGTGAAGGCAAAAAACAGCGGGCAAATAAATTGCTAGGTATTATTTTCTAATTACATGCAAATCTGCATGCAAGCCAGCCTCTTTGTTTCTAGCTAAAGTTAACATACTTCATGACATCTGACTAACATTGTGTGCCCTGGTTCATTATTCCTACGCCTTTCCCTCTTTTTCTTTCAGGAAGGTGTGTGGTTAGTGTCAGGGAGGGGCTGCAGCAGCAAGCTGACGGAGCAGACTCACCATCTGCTGGAGGTCATCCAGGCTCGTGCCACATCTGAAGACCTGCGCTCTCTGGAATGTAGGCTGTCCATTGTCACTGGTGCATTGCGTGGTGGCCTTGGGTAAACCCGCTAGCACAAAGAGGAGATCAAACTCAGCAGGCACGCAGGAAAACCCTGTCCCGATCCTTGAGGGAATATAGACCACATACATCACAAAATATCTCAAAGGCACCAGTTAATTTTTAACCTTCTTTTATATTCCAGTCACAAGTTATGCTTCTGATTCAATGCAGGCCCATAAAGTAATATCTCAGCAAAATGAGTGGCCCCTGCAGCTACTTGTAGGGCATCAGACGGCATGTGAGCGTGGACCTACTGCTCCCTTCACTTGAGTTGCACAGCTCATTGGAGTAACTGAACCATCCAACAGCAGTTTTGTTAAAAGTAAAACCTCCCATTTTGGTGGCATTGCAAAAGTTTGCTGTGGAAAAAAGGAACATAGCATTAGAAACGAATGTGATACATTAAATAAAAAGTGTATCAGCATTATTAATGAATTCAACGATAAAGAATCTGTGTTTGAACATGCATGTCTGGTCAGGTGTTTGTGAGTGTGTGTGAGTCAGTGAGTGTGAGTCGTGCATATGTGTGTGTGCTGGTGGCACCGATCTGATACCCACTATCAATATCGGGCTTATAACAGTAAAAAATGCTGGATTGGATATTGGGGGGGTAAGACACCGATCCGATTTTTCATCAGACATGGGTATAGCTATAGAGAAAGAAGAGGGAATTAAAACATGATGGAGCATCCATAATATGCTAATCAGACCATGTGGTGCCACTGGTAAAGCTTACAGATTAGGGTGGGGGCGTGAGTGCTGTCAGAGAAATTCACCGATCGGGGGAGGGGGGTACGGCGCCGGCAGATCGGTCAGCCAAATTTAAGATATATCATTATAGATTATAACATTTTGATCACATCATATCCCATATTTTGGAACACCTGTGATCTACAGTGTGGGCCCAGTGCTGTTTGCTTTGACTAAGAATAGTTGGTTGGGCTGTACAGTGATCTTTTTATGGCTGGTTTCTTTGTTATATTTAATTTGGCAAAAGATTGCACACTTTTCCCTTTAAGAAATATTTTTGTGATCATTGTTACTGAATCAAACAATGAAGCAGACTCGTGTAAACCAGGTTGGCCGTGAATTTCTCCCTGTACTGTAGTGGCAGAGCTTTTGTTTGAGAAACATGACCATTATATTTCCCTATTCTTAGCAAACTCAAACAATGCTGCTACAGCACTGAATGCAGTTTACAGCTACTGGAAATGTATCGATACAAATATCTCATTTAATGCTTAGTAGAAACAGATAAAGGGGAAAAATATTGGATTGGTATTGGCAGATACATGTTATTGGGATGGAATCAGAAAAAATGTTACTGTGCTATCTCTAATTGGGTGAATGTCTGTCTGCATATGTGTGGAAACCTTATTACTTACGAATCTCGCAGTTTCTCCCAGTAAACTCATCAGGACAAACACAGCTGGCTCCGATTACCTCACCACCATTTTCACAATTGAGGGGAGGGGTTGTAATGTTAGTAGTGGGCAGTTGAGTGGTAGCAATGGTAGTATGGGAATGTTGAGTGGTAGTGAAGTTAGTAGAAGGGAGATGAGTGGTAGTAATGGTAGTATGGGAATGTTGAGTGGTAGTGAAGATAGTAAAGGGCAGATGAGTGGTAGTAATGGTAGTATGGGAATGTTGAGTGGTAGTGAAGATAGTAAAGGGCAGATCAGTGGTAGTAGAGTCAGTGTAATCGGTTCGAGTGGTACTATCGCTAGTAAAGGGCAGATGAGTGGTAGTAGAGTCAGTGTCACTGGATAGAGGGGTAGTAAAGTTAGTAAAGGGCAAATTAGTGGTAGAAGAGTCAGGTTCAGTGGATAGAGTGGCAGTAAAGTTAGTAAAGGGCAGATAAGGGGTAGTAGAGTCAGTGTCACTGGATAGAGGGGTAGTAAAGTTAGTAA